GGGAGAAGCAGGCTTCCCGCCGAGCAGGGAGCCCGACTTGGGGCTCTATCCCAGGACCCCCAGGATCATGACCTGAGCTGAAGGCAGAGGCTTAACAACTGAGCCACCCAGGCACCCCATGGGGAAAAACTTCTTAAAAAAATTTATATGATGGTTATGATGGAACAACACATAAAATTTTAATAGGATTATTTAGAAATACACTAGTAAGAAAGCCATTTACTTGTAGGAAAAAACAAAAAAGTTGTACAAGAAATAAAATGTAACTATAATACATAATTACATAGTAAGCATAATTCTTGGCTCTCTGGCGGTCAATCTGCATGGTCAAGAAAACATAAACATTTTATTGCTTTTATTAAATTATACAACTTACTAGATATGATAGGATTGAGATGATGAGGGGAAAAGTGATATAACACCACTAAGGTTTTTCTATAGTACCAGAAAAGTACATAATGTCTTAGTGGTGATATCAAGGTATAGCAAGACAAGGGTATGACTTTGAACTAAGGAGATAAAACCCAGAACAAACAGCAAAAATTTACATTGATTGCTTCTGGGGATTGGGATTGGGGCTGGGGTGGAGTGGGACAAAAATCTGATGCTTCTCATTACAAGCCTCTTGGTATTAATTAATAATATAACTATTAATATCCATTGATTTAAAAATAAATTACCTGTTTTTCATCCCAGGATAAAACAAAGATTTTGTATGAGGAGGACCTTCAGGATCTGACTCCCCTTTCCAGGTTTATTTTCCGTTATTCCCTGTCACATACCCGTACCCATGACTTTCCCCTCTGGAGCCCACTTCCTTATGCTTCCCCGAGGCTGTAGCAGCCCCTCCCGGGCTCTGCCTGATAGATCCTGCCCGTCCCTAAAGGCCCGGTCTGACTCCCTTCTGCTCGCACAGCAAGCTTGCAAAGTGCAAAAACCAAGTACCTTAAAGCTCAGGAGCCCCGAGGCTCAGTTCCGGCACCGTCTCTTCTGGAGATCACCAGGCTCATGGGGGGTTTGATGATAAGGACAGACAGCCAGGCTGGAGGGTCCTAGCTAGGGGCCCGGAAGCCACCGGAATTATATATAAAATGCTTCTGAAATTGTTCAGAGGCTCCATCCAGCACGCAGGAAGGCCCTGCTGCACTTCCCCGCCGCTGGCTAAGTGTGCACTTGTCATACTCTCTTCCCTGCACCCCTTTTCTGTGTGTACTGGGCCCCTGGAAGGCAAGGCCCCAGAGCAGGTACTACACCTACTGGTCTTAGAGGAGATGTTTCAAAAGCAGGGAGCTCTCCTCACATAGCACCTGTCCAGGGGTGAGGCAGGGAAGGCAGCAGCGGCTAAGCCTATGGGCTGGGCGGTCTGGGCAGCTGGGTGGGTGTTTCTCTTGCGGTGAGCTATCCTAATCCTATAGCCCACTTCTGCAAGCCCTGCCCAACCAACAGCTGCCCTACTCGAGCCCTGAAGCGAATTCTGGACTTGGCATTCAAAGAGTCCATGTGGGCTCTTTGCCTACCCCTCCTTCAGTGTCCCCTGAGGTCTTTTTCCAGTACTATAGCCCCCTTGAGGCTGCACTTCCTGCCCGGACACGGCTGCCATCACCACCTCTCAGAAAAGGGCCTTCCTCACTGGCTCGGCTCTCAGGCAGCATGGCTGCTCCTCGACTCAGCCTCCCGCCTGTGTGGCCGTTTTGTGCTTGCCCCGCCCTCTGCACCAGCCCCGCCCTCCCTGGGTTTCTACTCGTGGAAAGGGCACCTGATGCCCACTCTTCTTCTTTTCTCATTATCATCAACGTATACTAGGGATTGGAAGGAAGAGTTTATCAAAGGGCTTACCCAGAATTTCACAAGAAAAAAGGCATTGGAAGGTCCCCGTTCAAAGAGCTCCTTGAGTCCCCCCTTTTTCTCTGGGAATTTGTCATAGATCTGGCGGATGTCCACGGCTTCGAGGTAGGGGTCACTGTAGCTTGGGCTGGACTGACCGATGTGCACAAACAGGTGCTTGTTGTACTGCGGAGAGAAAAGCCAGATTGAGGGTCAGGTGCAAGGTAGCAGGGCAGACAGAGCAGACCAGAGCTCAGATCACAGCCGTGTGACCTGGAGCAAGTAACTTCACCGCTCTGGGCCTCAGTTTCCCAACTGGTAAAATGGAGACAGGAAAAGGATCCGATGTAAAGCAAAGTGAACGCATATAAAGACCCTGGCTGCACCTGGCAGGTGCTCAGTAAACTGCAGTGATTGGGATCACTCTCAGTCCCGGCTCTGTCACTGAACAGCCTTACGCAAGTCATTTTCTACCTTTGGGCCTCTCGTATCTCACCTGTGATATCAGACCACTGACCTAGATAAGGTGTTTTCAACTGTGCTCCACCCCGCAGATGGGGGCTGGGCTGCCTGTGACCCTCACAGGCACCTGGCTACACCCAAAGAAAGTCTACTTTGTTGTACATGCTGGGCTTCTGAGTAAGAGTTGGATTAATGGTTCCTCAGCTGAAAAAACAAGTTTGAAAACATCAGAGTGAAATGGTCTGTGAAGTCCCAGGGCTCTGGCGCTGTATCTGCTTTGCCTCCTCCAGCTCCACCTCCTCTGACCTTTCCAGGTGACGCTGGTCCCCCAAGACACTGACGTGGAAGGGGACCGGGTGGGGGTGGGGCTCTGGTCTCTGCTGGCATCCCCAGGATGTGGGTCAGACACAGGAGACTCCTCAGAGCCATGGGGGAAAGGATGGAGCAGGGGGGAGGGCTGGGGGGAAGGGCAGAGCACAGGGAGGGAAGAGTCCAGGTCAGGGAGGGACCAGCAGAGGGAGAGGCCAAGAGCACTGAGGTGGACAAAGAAACCAGGGGAGGGAGCCAGGGGAAGAGGGGAAGCGAGGAGGCGAGGAGGTGAGGAGGCGAGGAGGCGGAGTGAGTGAGGAAAGAAGGGGGAGGGGTGGACGAAGGAAAGGAAAGGGGGAGGGAGGGCCAGTGGACGGGAAGCCTGGGAAGGAAGAGGAGATCTAAGTGAAACCCAAAAGTAGAGTGGGGCAGAAGGCCAGGACGGGAAGCCAGAAGCAGGTGGGGAAAGAGCTGAACACACGGGAGCGGGAGCCTCCAGGAATGGGGGCGGGTAAGTGAGCTGGCCAGGCCCAGGCCAGGACCTACCGTATCAGGGTCCTGCTGCTGTTCCAGGAAGGCAGAGAACTCCAACATCCAGAGCTTGGAGCTGGCCACACTGCGGCCCTGCCACGGGGGTGCCGGGGGCGCTGAGGGCGACGGGGTGGGTCCTGCAGGAGACTCAAACCCTGCACACAGCGGGAGAAGCACATGGGGAGCGGTCCGCACACAGCCTCCCTGCAGACAGCCTCTGCGAGGATCCCAGGCCCAGCAGTGAGACCCCGAGCTGGCTAGGAGATCTCCTGCCTCCCCGAAATAGGCCTCCCAGCAGGGGTGGACGAGGGGAGCACTTGGCCTGGTACCAGCCAGTCCCCTCGGGCCCCTGGAAAGAACTGTAGTCAGGGGAAAATGGACGCTGGATGGGGGGCCAGGATGCCAATGGCACTGAGAGCTTCCTGAGCAGCACCGCTAGGTTCTTGTCGAGGAGTTTCTGGTCCAGTCAGAGAAAACCAGACACAGCAACTGCTACAGTGACTTAAGCCCCGTGAGAACAGAAAGGTTCCTGATCTGTTCACTGCGGTCTCTTCAGCCCCTACAACAGTGCCTGGCTCAGAACAGGCATTCCCTACAGGTTTGCTAATAAAGGAGGTAAGGAACGTGGTAAGAATTGACAAGGTATGCACTTGGGGGTGGACAGGGAAGGCTTCTCCACAGAAGGCGATGCTTGAAGGAAGTAGCAAGCACAAGTAGGAGGCAGGAGGTGAAGACAGGGAAAGGGCACTTGAAGCAGAGCACAGGGCAGAGGCAAAGGGAAGGGGCTGTGAGAAGCTCAGTGGGTCTGGAAGCTAGGTCTTCGGCGGAGCTGGCGAGCAGGTGGGTTTGTGCAGGAAACAGAGGTAAAGAGAGGGGTCCAGAGTGGGGCCAGGCTAAGTAAGCAGCGTGAATTTGAGCCTGAGCGCTTGGGAGTGACAGAGGATTTTAACCAGGGCATTGAAATGGTCAGACCTGCGTTTCTGAAAGGTCCTACCCAATATGAAGGAAGGACCAGGCAGGGAAGGGGCCGTCAGAAGCATGGTCCTGGGGATGTTTTCCCAGGGAAAAAATGAAGGATTGATTGAAAGCAGTGTAGCAGAGGGAAGAGTAAGGGACATAGGAGGCACAAGAAGGGAGCAAAATCCCGGGCCCTGGTGCCTGACGGGATGTGAGAAAGCAGAGAGGCAAAATTCCAGAGGCCCGCCTTCCAGGCCAGGAGGAGGCTGGAGGCCCCGCGTGCTAAGGCAGGTAACTCAGGAGCACTCAAGGAAGGAGACGGAGAAGAAACAGAGGGGTGGGCGGAGGGCCATGCTGGACACGTGAGCCGTGCTTAATGCCCCAGCTGAATCACTCATCTGTTCAAGCACTGCTCACCGAGGAAGGGTTAGGGTGTGCGGCCACAACTAGATACACGAAAGACGCAGACCAGTCATTCACAGACGCTGCCCCCCCCAACCCCAGATAATGGCAATAAAGTGTCAAGTGCTAGATGGGGGTGCAGAGCACTCAGGGCCCCTCAACTGGGCAGGGACAGGGCAGAGAACCGTGCAGGCGGACGGGAAGCCTGAGCTGAAGCCCAGAGGCAGGGTGGGTAGGGGCACGGAGGGAAGGAGGGGAGAGAAGCTGAGTCACCGAGGAGAGCCATGCAAGTCCTACTACAGACTTCAGATCATATCCAGAAGGCACCAGTGGGCCAGGAAAAGATGTTAAGCCTAGGAACCACACGATGGGATGGATGCTTTATGAAGGTCACTGGGGTGAATCGCAGGGTGAAGAGGGGAGGCAAGGTAAAACGGGGGGCAGGTCAGGAGGCTACTGCAGTCATGCAGGCCAGAGCAGGAGGGCCTGAACCAAGACAGGGGCCAGTGAGAGGAGGGGACAGACAGGAGGGCGGGCTGCTCAGGGCTGGGAGAGAGCAGCAATCAGGACCCCAGGAGGGGAGCGCACTGCTCTTGGAGCAGGACAAGCCAGGCCAAAAGGTCAGCAGAGAATCATTCCCCAGGCCAGAAAAGGTGGTTAAGGGTGAGGATCCTCCCTGCCCTGCAGAGAGGAAGGAGGTAAGGGACCCTTATGAGAAAGAAGCAAGTGTGCCCGGAGCAGTGAGAAGGAGGGACACCCACACTCCACGCCTCCGCCCAGGAGTGCTCCCTCTGCTAACCAGCAGCTCCAGGCCGGAAAGCCGTGCTCTCCTCGGACCTCCCATTTTGAAGGAGGGGATTGCAGTGTCACCAAGAGGGGGGCCATTCTAAGAGCCAAGCTGTTGGGAGCACCCGTGCAGCACACGGGGGTGGCCAGCTGGAACAGGCACTCCCCTTTGAACTGCGTGCACCTGGGAAGGCCCTGAGCGCAAGCTGGGAAGCAGGTCAGGCAGCCCGAGCGGCACGAGGGGCTTGGTGCAGCGCAGAGGTGTGCGTGGTAGGGGCAAGGAATGGGGTGAAGCCAGGAGACTGGGATGTCTGGTCTGAGCACATGCCAGGGCCACATCTAAGAGGGCCATGAGATGTCCAGTTGTCGGGGGGCCTGGGACCCCGGGGGCTGGGGGGGAAGGGGCTGCAGGTGTGCGAGGCACAAGGGAGCCGCGCACTGCCGACCCACCTGGCAGAGGCAGCGAAGGCTGGACAGCGTAGGTTTGCTGAGAGAACGGTTTCACACTGTGGGAGACAGGAGAGAGGAGGTGTAAGCCTTAGGGCAGGTGGCAGCCCAGGAGCCTCCAGCAGTGTCCAATGCTGTGTGTGTGGCTGGCCCTGGTGGTCTGGCCATCAGTGGCCTTGGGGGGCTCTGGCCACCTGCTCCCTCCCTTGCCAAGTCCGTCAGGTTTCATGGATGACCCAGAGAAGCAGCGTTGTCTATTGGGAAAATCCACTCCTCCCTCTCTTCCTTCCCTCCCCTCCTCCCTCCCGCCCTGGCCAGCCAGAGGTCAGCTTCCTAGCCTCCCTTCCCTTGGGGTCCCAAGCTCTGGCCCTGCTTCACGGTGGACAGACTGGCATTTCAGCAAATGCCACCCCAGGGGGTCCACACTGCAGACTGAGCTGTTGCCTGCGAGCAGGAGAGCTCAACCCCAAAGCCCCAGCCCCTCCTGAAAGGCTGACCCCAGGCTGCGGCCCTGTCTCAGACTGGGAGTCAGGCTCCACAGCACAAGTTTATGGGCTCAAGTTCAGTTTGGAGAGCAACTGGTAGCAGGCCATACTCACTCATGGGATGTTCCGGCTTGGCCCGGCAAGGCTCCTTGCCAAAACTGAGGAGGCAAAAAGTGCAGAGTCAGCCCACCCCATGCCCGGGGGCCGTGGTGTTGGGGGGCCAGGCAGGGGCCTCAGCTGGAAGGCAGGGCTGGGGGCCTGGACCCAGTGGGTGGTAAGGAGAGAGAGTTAGCGCTACTATCCAGTACTAAATGTGTTTCGAGGAGCTCTAGTCTCTGGACCTGCTCTGCCAAGAAGATGCTCCTCAGGAGAAGCCCCAGGTTTGGAATCACGGCAGCGACAGTCCTCCCTCAGAAGCCCACGGTGCGTAGCAGCACTGAAGGCCTAACAGTCCCAGATTTAAGAAACCTATTTAGTTCTAGGTGTCCCAAACTTCCTTACACAGATCCACTTTGTGTCATTATCTAGGTAATACCCTGAGGGACTAGCGGTCTCTGGAACACACTTTGAAAACTGCTGGAGAGGCTCACTGAGCGTGGGGCCAGTCACTGTCCCTCCCCCACGCGCCTAGGGCAGTGCTGTGGGTGCTTCGTGAAGACCCATTTAGTCCCTACAGCCAAGACAACCCTGTGAGGACACAGCCTTTCTAGACCATTGTGAAAGTGTCACCAAGCTGGCCACGGTCAGGAAATTTAAAATCCGAACAAGAGTCTGTTCCTGAACACCAGCTCTCTGACTGGAAGGCAAGCAGTGCTGAGTGCCTGGGGGAGCGGGGACAGGGCCGAGCGGTGGAGGGCTGCTCCTGGGTGCGCCGGCGCTGCCCCGAAGCCTCAGGCTTCAGCCCCCATCCCGGGACGTCAATCGGACCAGGTGCAGAGCTGCTCGGTCAGTCAGCTAGTGGGGGTGGCTCTGCCCCCTGTGGAAGGTCTGCTGTGTCACTAGCAAGGCCCCCGAGGAGGCAGGGCCAGTGCTGGCGAGCTGTGCCTCAGCATGGCCCCTCGGCCCTTAGTCCCTCCTTCCCCCGGCTCTCCAGGCCTGGGAGGACTCGAGAGAGAAATGGGGCCTGGCCAGTGCCCCCGGCTCCTCAGGAGGGGGAGGAGAGAGAAGGAGGGGCTGACGTGGCCTCTGGCTCCAAGCAGCCCCACTTACCCCTGAGACTGCTGGGTGGCCTGGGCCCCGGGCGAGGGCCATTTTACTGTGGAAGGCTGTGGCGGAGATGGCCTGGGCGGGCGACATGGGAGCCATGCTCTGCAGGGCCTTGTCCTTAGCTGCCTGGTCCTGGGGAGACATTGGAAGGGAGGGCCTCAGCAGTGGTCACTATGGCAGGTGTGGGTGAGGCGGGGTCCGGGCTTGTGCTCAGGGAAGCTGTCCCACCGCCAGCGGCCAGAGCCGTGGACAAGGCCCTGGGGGACCAGGCTCGTGCCCATGCAGTGCTGAGAACTTGGCTTGTGACTGAGCACAGGTCACTTGGTTCAAGTGGTTCCTCTGATCAGTTTCCTCCTCTGTCAAAGGGGTAAAATGCTTGTCCAGGCTATTTTATTAGAGCGTAAAGGGCCTTGGGAAACCATCTGCCAGACTGTGTCTTGATGAAGGCCTCTTAGTCCTTGCTCGCCTCCACGCCACTGGCGGCTGGCCCGGCACCTGGCTCACGGTAGATGGTACATAAACATGTCAGAGCCCTCCTCAAATGGCCAGGAGGGGTCCTCCGCGGTCACATGGACTGTCTGGAGGCCTGGGACGGTCTCCCGCGGCCCCGCCTGTCTCAGTTCTGCCTCATGGGTCTCCCCTCGCAATGCGGACACCCGAGGCACCCCTGCCTTTTACATGGCAGGTGTCAACACCCGCTATTTGCCCTCCGTGGGCCCAAAGACACCAAAGAATGGATTCGCCCTGCACGGCTCTGAATTAACAAGTACTCAGGAAAGCACCTGTAAGCACTTACAACACTGGGGAGAACAGTAATAATAATCTGTATACGTGTGTAAGCCAGCGGTCCCCATCCTGAGGGCCCCACTCCCACAGGTCTTCAAAATGATGACACGTATTTCAGTACTTCTGTATTTCAAAAAGCCTAATGGGAACTGTGTTTTTGTCCAAAGTAAGGCCACATTTATAGACTGGAATGGCAAGCTTTATTCAGTATGTGTAACTTAATTGAGGCCAAAAGATTGGATTATTTCAGCTCAGGAACTCAGATTAGGAATTCTGTCTTTATGATGAGTATTTTTAAATGGGAACAATAAATTAGTCATCATCTGGTAATTAAGTTGGCAGCCCCAGACAAGTGTGAGAACTGACGGAGGCCCTTGCAGCTCACAGGCGCTTCTCCACGACAGTTTCTCCCGGCCCTCACAACAGCCCCGTGAAGTGGCACCACCATGGGTGCATGAGGCTCTGGGGACCCAGGTGGTCCCCCAGCGTCCCGGCACCTCACAACTGTGGAGCCAGAACTCCAGAGGCCCTGCCACTCAGCCTCTCCAGGACCATGTGCACTCACGTGGCACAAGATGGCCCACAGAAGGTCAAGAACACGGCCTCACTTTGATTCTGAACATCACAGCACTCCCGTGAGGCTGGCGAGACTGAGGACCCCCATTTTAAGAAACAGAGCCTCAGAGAACTTAGGGCGCTGACAGTAGTGATGGCTGGCCTGAGAACTTGGTCCAGGTTGGCATGTCAACTCAGCACTGGGCCTCTGGGCCTCCGCAGGCCTGGAGGGGTGGAGGGCAGGGGGAGGGAAGGGTGCGCACAGCACAGAAGGCACAGACCATTCTGAGAGAAGGGCTCATCCTCAAACCACCGTCCTTTTGGGTCCAACCTGGGCTTTGCTCTTAGAGGCTCTCTGATAACCAAAGAGGGAGCTCTCAGCATAAGGTGGCCTCTTGCCAAGAACACGTGCACTGTTCAGGAGGGAAAAGCCAAATGTGCCCAGGCCAGCCGGCCCTGGCCTCTCCCTCCAGGAGGACATGTGTGATGCAGCAGGCCGTACCCTCAGAAAGCCCGCGGACCTCTGTGGTTAACAACCGCACCGTGAGGCCGGAGAGCTCCATCCGCTCAATGTCCGCAACTTACGGCCCTTCCGGGAGAGCTGATCTCAACAAATGACTGGGGCTCAGGAAACCACGTCCTCACGCAGGGTGGAACAGGAATCAGGGGGAAGTGGGAAGGACCTTATGGGGAGTGACATCAGTGACCAGGTTACAAGGCCAGGGAGTCACTGAATTTGGGGCTGGAGAGGACCTCAGATACCACCTTGCTTCACCCTGTCATTTCACATTTTAAACCGAATAGAGCTTGAGGAGAGCCAGTGACTCCCCACGCTCACATTGCCCAAGGGCAGAGCCAGCTAGACCAAATCCCGAGTCCTGGAGGATTTCTACCTAGGAGAAGCCTGTCCACCAGGAAGACAAATTACGTTGGGTCCCAGACCCCTCTGAGAATACAACAATATCCTCAGACCACTCTCCCCGAGAAAATGCACACAAAGATCTACATATTATTTAAGGGGCTCATGGCTCCCCTCAATGTCTGTCTAGTGGTCTATGAGAGCTCTCCCCAGTCTCTAAGTTAGAGCCTATGGACAAAGGTAGCAATTCCTTGAAGTAAATGTGGATCATCTGGTCTGCAAAGGAATTAAAAGTTTCCCTCGATGGCTGTAAACAGAACACTGGAAAGTGTCTTCTCCATTCTGGCTCTCTGCCAGGGTCCCAGTGAGTCAGAGGCAGACCAGAGAGGGGAAGTAGGGAGCAAACTGGACTCCAGGCCCCAGGGGCCTCCAGGAGTACGTGTGCCCAGCCTGAGAGGGAGGGAGTGATGACAGCTGACGCCCAGCCACCTGTCCAGGGGACAAAGGAGCGAGGTGCTGGACTGCAGCTGTGAGGGCGGGGGACAGCTGGGCTGAGTGGGCAGTGGGACGCGGCTTCCTGGGAGTTCCCCCCACTCATTCGGAGCCTCCAGTGTCAGGATCATGGACAACCAGAGCCACATAGGACCTTCAAGCTCATCTAGTGCAGTGGTTTTTAATTGGGTTCTAAGCTACTCTGGGGTTCAAGAGTCATGGAGCATGAGAGGTAAATAGGAGCAGGGGGTCTCTGGTCTATTCTGCACCAACCTAGCTTTGACCAAGGTAGCTCCTTTGTTAACATATGGGTGTGGTATTTTGTTTGGGGAAAAAACAAAAGGGACCTCCACTGCTTAAAAAAAGTGTGTTAACTGCTGGCCTCAGTCTGAGACCCCAAATGTCAGCTCTTCCTGCCAAGTAGCTGGGCAAGCTCTGCGATGAACACCTCTATGGGGAGCTCATTCCCACCTGGTATTCACCAAAAGGGTCCCCTGGCTCTAGTGTCCAGGAGGCCTGAGTCCTGTGGGAAACAGACTGCCCCCTATTGGGGGGTGGCCCTGTGAGGTGGGACTGATCTGGGAAGGGGAGAGAACTGCCCATCTCAGAGAGCAGAGCATAGGAAGGAATTCCACCAGCTCCCACAGTACCATCCACCCCACCCCCACAGCAGTGCCCCCTAAGCCTGACCACCCCGCAGGCTCAGGGGATGGCACGGAGGGGCCAGGGCCTCCAGGAGGTCCTCAAGGAATGGGGTGTGGAGGGCAATCCCGCTGTGACCTGGGGATGCTGTAGAGCCTGGTGGTCATAAACACACATACACACACACACACACACACACACACACACACACACAGCTCTGACATCAACTGTCATTCCCTGTGCAGACAAGGAGTAGTTACAGGCTGAATCCCAGGAAGCATGCTGGCTCTGCACATGAACAGCCAGCCCCTGAACCCAAAGGGAATACTTTTCCTGCTGGAAAAAGAGCCCTAACTTCTAGGAAGCTGGCTCCACCTGTGCCCTAGGTCCTCCCTCCCACTGCTGCTGGTTTGCCTTACCTTTAGCTTGGCCTGGATCTCGCGGGCTTTTCGACGAGCCAGCACCTGGATGTGGCTGGAGACCTGTAGCAGGAAGAGAAGGCTCCTGTCCCTACCTCCCAGGAGCCCTGTGCTCCCCGTGCTGGCTCCTCGACCCTCAGCCCTCCACCATCCTCAAACCACATCTGAGTGAATGAGTGAATGAAAGGGGCAGTCAATGATGGGCCTTCAGTCCTGCCACATCCAGCTAATCCAGAGTCTGGCAATAAATCAAAGTACAACGCCAGTCCTGCACTCTCTGTTCTTCTGGTGTCCTGGACATGGGAGGGGAAGGATTTCCTCCCAGCTGATGGCAGCAGGGACTGCAGGGAAACTGAACGGTCTGTGGCACACCAAAAAGAGATAACCCCTCTGAACCAGCCCCACCGAGAACCCACCCTCAGTCCTGCAGAGGGCCTGGCCCACCACGGGAGCAGACTGGGACTGGGGTACCTGCCCCTAGGACCCACGCTCATCTCCCAGGGCCCACCTGCTTCCTGGTGCGGGTCTTCCCCGTCCGGAGCTTGATGTAGCGGGCAATCAGCTCATTCCGACCTACAGAGACACCAACATGCTCTCAGCAGGAGAAGGACAAAGGCAGAAACACAGGAGGATCTGGGGATCCCTTCCCTCATCCTCTGCCCACCTTGAGTGGGGACTTGGGGTGAGGATTCTGCAGGTGCCCTCCTTGGATCCCAGGAATCTCCCAGCAGCAAGAGGAAGCTGAGGCCTTGCTGGGGGAGTGGTAACCTGAGAGCAAGGAGGGGACAGGGCTGCAGGCCCCATACAAACTCGGGGAGCTCCCTTCTCCCACACTGGCCACCTCCTCCCCCTACTCCACAGCAGCCTGACAGCTGCCAATCTGTCCTGCCTCCTCCTGGGGCCTTCTGCACACTTGGGAGGCTGCAGGGCAGTGCCTGGGCCTTGACACTCCCCCATGCAGCCCCCCCGCCACGGGCCACAGCTTCTACCACCTCCATAAATGAGCAGGACCTTACAAGATGTCTTGCCTTGTCTCCTGACGGGAGACCAAAGTGCTGAGACACTGAGCGTCCCCAGGGAGGAGGCCCGAGGCCCTGAACTCAGATAAAGAAAACCTGGGCAGACCACACCTCCAGCTGCATGGCTCTGACCAGACCAGTCAATAGGTAACACCGCGTGTGCGCCATGGGCCCAGTCCCCTAGAGGCTGAGGCTGTGTCTGAGGGATCCTGGAAAACTGTAAGGAGCCACCCACGACCTCTACCATTGTAAATGCAATTATGAAAGGAGGTTCTGTTTTCAAAGAAACCACCACCTAGCTGAGGAGAGACGTGTGTCCATGCCGTAACCCCAAAGCGGGCCATGGACAGGGAGCACACAGTGTGCTCAGAGCACAGGGGTCAGCTCAGGCTGGGTGGTCAGGTGAGCCTTCCGCTGGACCTTGACCACTGGGTAGGATTAGACTATAAAGAAGGGCATTGGGTTGGGGAGAGGGAGAGCAAGGGGGCTTGAGGGGGAGCTGTCACCCCCCTGGGCCAGCTCTGAGGCCAGCGGGCTCAGACGCCAGCCCCGCCCCATCCTGCCAGCCTTGCTGAGCCTGGAGGGCTGTGGCTGAGTAAGGAGGCTGCTGGTGCAGGGGGGTGGGGCCGAGACGAGGGGGCTGTCCGCCACCCCGCTGTAACCGGAGAGCACAGCCAAGTCCAAGCTGGCCCCCCAGATGACCTTTCCCCACTGCCAAAGCTGAATTAAGAGGCCACCCTCGGGAGGTCTCGTCTGCCAGAAAGACTAGCTGGCCTGGGAGTGCTGGACGGTCTGTGTCAGGGGAAGGAGGGAGGGCGGGAGGATCAGACCCTGAGGCTATCACCTGTGGGCTGGTCTGCACCTAAAACAGGAATCCAGTGACATGTCTCTTCTCAAAGCTCTCCACGGAGAGGTATTCCACAGGCTCCTCTAAACGAACGTCTAAAGATGGTTCAACAGTCCCGTGCATGTCTAACCAGAGACACTCACGCTGCAGCTAGGAAATGCTATGATCACTGGCCGGAGTCTAAGTCATCACCAGTGGTGACTGTAAGCGGGTCCCAGAACTGGGAGTTGGGGAGCCAGGTGTAGCCCAGCACCTCCACAAACAAGGTATGGGATCTTGGCAAGTCCCATTCCTCTATGGACCTTCACCCAGATTGCACTTCTTAAACCAGGCCCTTTTAAGGTTCTTCCTCCAAATTACTCCAATCAAATGTTTAGAGACTTAGGAAACAGACCTCAGTGAGAGCTCTCTGTGGCTCAGTTTCCTTTGCTGTAAAAAGAACAGGCCCGTGTGAGTTGTCTAGTTCAGGGCCCAGCCTGGGAGCGAGAAGAGCAAGGGAGGAGAGAGGGTTCCTGAGACCAGGAGGTTGATCACAGAGCTGGATGGCACGCTCACCCAAAGAAGGGTGAGCGGCCGAGTACTGGGGCTGCTGCTGGGAAAGGCAGGGGAATCGACTGTTTATCTTATTGGCAAGGCTCTGATCAGCAGTAGGCTATTAGTAGTTAATTTTTTTTTTAAGATTTTATTTATTTATTTGACATAGCGAGAGAGAGCACAAACAGGAAGAGCAGCAGAGGGAGAAGCAGGCTCCCTGCCGAGCAAGGAGCCCGATGCGGGACTATATCCCAGGACCCTGGGATCATGACCTGAGCCGAAGGCAGACGCTTAACCGACTGAGCCACCCAGGCATCCCAGTCAAGTTTTAGGGGAGTCAAGTTATATGTGGACTGTCCACTGTGTCTGTGGCGGGGTGGGGGGGTAGAGGTTGGCACCTCTAACACCCACATTGTTCAAAGGTCAAATGTATATGCAGAATCTAGCCACTTCTCACCACCTCACCCTCCATGGTCCAAGCTCCCATCCTCTCTGGCCTCAACTATGACAATAACCTTCGACCTGGATCCCCTGCTCTCAGCCTATTCTTAACACAGCAACCACAGCAATCACAGCAATCCTGTGGCTCAAACACCCTCCCATGGCTTCCCATCTCACTCAGACTGCAAGTGTTCAAGCCCCTACAATGGCCTGGAAGCCCCCACAGGGCCTGTTCACTCCATCCCCAGCCCAGCCCCTCTCTGACCTTACAGCATCTCCCACTGGGTCTCCTGGCTGTTCCTGAGACGTGTCTGGCCCACTCCCACCTGAGGGCCTTTGTGTGCCGTGTTCTCAGCCCAGCCACGCATGGCCCACTCCCTCACCTTCCCACCTTCTTTGCTCAGGTGCCACTGTCTAAGAGACAGCTTCCCCACCTCCACCCACCCACCTTAAACAGCCTACTGTCCTTGCTGTTCTCCCCAGCATCTTCGGACACACCATGTGATCTGCTTACTCACTCAGAGCACTGTCTCCCCCCACCCCCACTCCCAGCAGAAGGAAAGCTCCTGAGAACAGGGATGTCTGTCTGTCTATTCACTTGTTCACACCCAACACCTAGAACACTGCTTGCTATTTTCTGTAGTAGGCTCCCAATAAATACTTGTTAAATGATAAGGCAATGGTGAGAAAACGCTGACCACATGTCCCACAAGGCGTTTTAGCCTACTACAGGTAAGGTACACATTAAATAAAAGCAAATCACCTTTTACTTCTGATTAGTCCAACACAGCAGTTTAAGTGCTTTCTTATCCTGGCCTCATTTAAGCCTCCATATGCAGGAGCAAATCCAGATTTTTGTGGAGCCTAAAGCATCTAAAACTTGGGAGGCTCTCTCTGAGAAAAAGAATTTAAAATATAAATACAAAATTAGGTAAAGATCATTTTGGGTTAAGATGGACATGTTCACTCTCTTGATGTGTAGTAACTGGTTTCATAGGTATGCTTACATCCCGTCAAAACTTAACCAAATTGTCTACTTCAAATATGTATAGTTCACTGTATGGCTATTATACTCCCATAAAATTGCTTTACAAATTTAAATTACAAATAAAAAGATTAGGGACTTGAAGGGGGACACGCAAGTGATGGTCCTGAAGCGTGACCCTCACTAACTCTCCAGCAAACCTCCCTCCCACCTATAGAAAGGTGGGCAATCGCACGTAGTACCAGATGGGGACACTGAAGGCAGAAAACCTCACCCAGATCACCCACCCGCAGATCTAACAGTGGCTGCCTGGGCCTGAATACTGGCTCAGCCACCGCTAGTAGCGCAGGGAGTGCCCGGCACCCCGAAGATGCTCTCTATCCCTGGGCAGGCCTCCCGGCCCTGTGCACAGTGGCCCCTCCTCCGCGTTACAGGACGAGCAGCAGCTAGTGGGCCCCATGCCCGCCAGGGGCTGAGACCCTTACTCCAGACATCAGAGAGGACGGTCTCCTGTGCCAGGAGCCCTGGGTCTTGAAGACAGAGCCCCCTCCTGGTCCCACAACAACCTCTGCCCTCTACTACAGGGTTCGGGAGCTCTGCCACCACACAGGCCATGCTGGGGGCCGCAGGAGCCAAATCCAAAGGGTCTAGGCTGGCGAGGCTGTCTGTATTTTTCCAAGTTATGCATCTTGCCCTCCCTTTGTCTGGAGCAGCATTCCCCTCCCCCTTACCAGCTCATCTCAGGCCATTATTCCACCCAGCCTTGTTCTGCTCATCAGAGGTGATGCCAGGAGCTGAGAACTCCCCCTGGGCAGGAGTAAAGTGCTGGGTCTCTGGGGGTGTGCGGAGCCAAGAGGGGCCGACCAGCTTCCTTCCTGCCACCGGGGTGCTTCAGAGGTCACCCCGGCCAGCGGGCATCGAGTCCCGGCTTCACACTTACGTGGGGGGCCGCGACAGTGTCTCTCGCTCTCATAGCCAGACCGGCAGTCGTGAACATGTACTGTGCAAATACAGACTGTGCGCTGGGGAAGCCGGATCTGTGCTCTCCTTTTCAATCCTCACGGCCGCTCTTCGCAGCTGCTACTATCGTCACGTTCTACACACAGGGAAATCGAGGCCCACAGAGGTTTGGAAAGCAGTTCAGGGTCACAGACCAGCAAGTGGTCGAGACCGAAACCCATCCAATCTGGTTCCAGAGCCTGTCTCTTCAGGATCACACAGTATGACTTCTATTTAACGTGGGAGTGAGGGCCATCTCCAGAAGCAAGGGCCGGACCTGGTCGCCCCCGAGGTCTTATGTAGCCCAGGGAAGAAGTAACTGTGGCCCAGAGAGGGGAAATGATTTATTCAAAGTCACACGGTTTGTTAGTGTCCCAGGTGCCATGAGAACATACGCTTCTAAGGCTTCACGACTATCCCACAACGGCTGCCCTCCCTCGGCTGGGCTGGGAGCTGCCTCTGCAAGACAGCACGGGGCTCCTCCCTCTGGCTCGATCCCCCCATTCTCCGGGTCTCTGCATGAAGCAAAGCCCTTGGCTATGTCTGACTGCCCCTCGCCCTGACCCAGGTCCTGGAGGAAAAGCCAACTATTTGGACCCAAGAGCCTGCCCACTGTTTTCACTCTCTCATGGACTGTGGCTCCCCCAGCTGATAGAAGCCAACATGCCATGCATGATCAGGAGACCACAGAGTCAAAGGGAGACGCGGAGAGAAGTAGGGAGCATGTGCTCAGAGGCTGAGCCCTGAAACCACACTGCAGGCCAAGAGAGCAAGGGCAGTAAGAAATGAGTAGAAAATCCAGATGAGATAGTGGGAGGGAAAGAGACCCACATCCTTGTCCCAGCTCTGCCACGTGCTGCTCAAAGCCAGGCCTGTTTTCTCCCCTCCAGTGCAGAGACCACATGCTGGGCTAGTGGGAGGCCAGCCTGGACCTCGGCAGGGCCAGTTGGGCAGCTGGGCATTACAGTGTGACAGGTGGCCTTGGCCAACCCCAGAGAGGGCCTGGGTGGGGCTGGAAAAGACACCCCCGCCAGACTATGGCCCATCTGTCAGGGGACATGTGTCCAATAGCCCCAGCTTCCGCCCACGGCCCCACTCCACCATGGGAAGCAAGGGCAGCCGATGGACAAAGGGGAGCCTTGGCCTAACCACAGGCTGAGGGTGAAGCCTCCC